AGACAGATAGAGCTTACCCCTCCCCTCTCCTATCCTCATCCCAAATGACCCCTTGACCCAACGTGAAAATGAGTCCCCACTAACGACAAACCCTTATATGATCTGTACAGGCACGATTATGAATCATTCGAAAACAATTGTTCGCCTTCGGACTTGTGTTCTAATGTTGTGATGGTTGGGGAAAACTGTGAACAATGAACAACTGTTTGGTATATCAAAATAAAATGTCCTGAAATTTGATGTTAACGGATTAAGTTTCACCTAATGAGTGAGGTGTGAACACCCGCCACTCTTAAACTGGTTTATATTTAGTTGATTTACTTTCGGTAACAACTAATTCAGGAATGCCTTTTTCCCTTTGTTATTAACTCGTTCACTTTCCACCGGTATAATATCATTAGATTTCCAACAAATAGCGATTCCTGAGATAGTTTTCTCTTTTTCACATATAAGTCTGAATGGATTGGTTGAAGAATGAGCTGTCAAATGCAGCTGGTATTTCGAGTATTAAACGAGTTCAAGCATTAGAGCGATAAGTTGTGTTATTCAAAATTGTGCACCTGAATATTGGGACCTGACTTGGAACATTTCGTCGGAATATAGTAGTATATACATATAGGATGATTCTATTTATTTTTGTTCAGGTCACATATGAAAAAAGGTTTAAATTAGATACCTTTCGGTTGTTTGTGCATCCATTCAATCACAATTTCGAGATTGCAAAAACTATGGAGTGCCTGTATTCAATAGTTCACAGTGTCGCTCGCGCAGCATTGCTAATTATGCTACTTACGAGGAATAGAACGCGAATTTCACTGTTCTAGGAAGTCCCCATTCTGACGAATGAAAACACAAATTAAAGGAGTAGAAAGTTTTGTATGCACTTTTTGGTGATCACTGTAGTAATTGAAAACGACGTTCAAGCATTTAAAATCAGTTTTCGTAGCTCGTTCGACCTGAATTCATTTTCGCCTGTTCGCTGAGTTTAGCAATTTGTTTAGAAACGTTTGGTCACCTGCTGAGGTGAAGTTTAAGCTTAGTTACCAGTCAATGTGTAATTATTTGGTTTGTGATATGGGGTGGTCGAATGGAAAGGATTTGATAGAACTTCACAGTAAAAAATTGTTCTTTATAGTTCATTGTAGAATGAGGTGGACGTTAGGATTATCTTTCTTGCTCTTTCGAATGCGGAAAATTAGTTTCCTAACTTACTTGTTTTATTTTCATCATTTCATTCTTGTATACGTTTTTGCAGTATGATGCGATATCCACGATAAACTGATTTCTGACTTCCAATTGAGAAAAACTATCTACTCTACCGCATTTGTCAATAACTATTTAGATTTTCTCAAAGTAAAGACGCCAATTTCCATATTACTGTTTTTATCGATTCAAATCTATCCGTAATGACTACATCATCGCATAAAGTATGCATCATTCTAACAGCTTCTGGTAACCATGACTAGCAAAAATAACTATGGGCGTCGAACAAGCGAAACTGTTACCACTGAGTGCACAAAACCAGTAGAGTTGACTGAGGAAGACTGATGGCATGTCAACAGAAAGATCAAAGTCGAAGAATGTTTCGACATTGCTGGTAGACAAACGGTTCAATTGGTGTATTCGTGGAACGTGTGTATCAATGTGGTTCTTTGCTTGTTCAAACCTGACCATTGCGTTAGGCGAAGGTGTGAATAATTGCTCCTCTTTGATATAGATTACCGTGTTGTGTATAAAAACGGTGAGTCCTGCATAGGTTTTAGAAGTGTTAGTTAGGAACAGATCATTTGTATGTTTTGTAGCCTAGCCCCGGAATTAGGACATCTTCGGCTCGTTTCAAACTGCTCAATGAACAAAAACCATAAAGCCGTGATAAATGTTTCCGAAATTAATGTGTTTCGTAACAAAGTGTACCATATGACTGTCTTACTCAGGTGTGTGTACTGCACCAATGAGTTGTTTATATCCATGTACAGTATGCCTTCTTAGAACTCTATTTGATACTTAATGATAGAGAAGAAGACTATGCTTTGCAATGCATGTAATTTTGTTCAATTTTCGCTCATAGCTCACGAACTGAACACAATGCGTACGAACATAATTCGTGAACTGTCTTGTTACAGGATATTGATAGATATTCAGTGGTTCCCAGCTTTTCAGTTTAAACCTTGTTTGCTGTTTAAATGACAAAATTAATGATGGAACAAAATTTATTCCCAAATGTGTACAAGTTCGGATTGGACCGATTCGAATCAAAAGTCATACTAAACACTAAGGGGATCCGACTTCCGATACGGCATTACAGTGCATAAGAAGATATATTCGTTCAAATAATGTGGAATTCGGGGACAGGGATCTCACTAAATCAATCAAATCCAATGGACCGTTACAAAATCAGTCAGAAGCTTATCTACCCAAATCGTTTTGACTTTAAGTGTTGGAAGTGAGTTACGGTATTAATTCGATTTGTTTATCTACTCTTCGTTAATTGATGGAAGTTGGGTATACTGGGCGCTGCGTTCACGCAACCACAGGCTATAGAGTATTTTCTATTTTCTACTTGTTTGCTTCGCTCCCATAGATGCAGAATACAGTCGAGATCTCAAAACATGGCCGTTCGAACGCCACCACAGATTGGAAGTTGCCTATCTTTAAATCGGGAAGGTTTCCGGTCTATTTGTTTAACTCTGATATCCAAACCATTCTAACTCCTGGGTGCTTATGTCGTTTTAGTCACTTATATTCAAAATGACACATTTTATGATCCATCGACCTCACTGGTTTGTTGATCACTATTTTACATTTGATGAAACGAAAAACCCCGTCAATGATCAATGGGTAGAGATAGGTAGAACGCCCCTGCCAAGTTTTACTCTGAAACCAAATGGGAGCAATATTTTATGTGCGTATGTTTAAGTAGTTCTAGATCAAACTCATATGGAACGTTTTTCCTCCCTCTAAAAAAATGAACTCTTTTGAAAAAAGTGAAAAATTTATTCGCAACATGAAGAGTGATTGTTAACACTAGCACTCAGCGAGAAGATAAATAGAACAGGTACTGCGTAGTGGTAGAAATCCCCGAATAAACCATGATGCGGAGAAGATAAATTTATTGACTGTTGTAAAAGTGTGCGCGATTGTTTCAACTGAAATGGAATAGGAATTAATAACTCCGATGAAAGCCATGAACATAAACAATCAAATGCGAAAAAACGTTTCTTTTTAAATTTCCATATGGACTGTTGAGATTTACTTGACTTAGAAATGTTTTCATTTGTGAAAATACCTATTTTTGTACTCAAAACTGTCACCTTATTTCATCCAATTCAAATAACTTTTGAGATGAGTAAGTGCTAGAATGCAGTAAACTCAATTGGAATGTATTTTTCTGTATTTTTCAAATGCTTCCCAAAATGTCTATATAAATGCTACACTGGGGGAGAAACGCAGGTAGTTCGCCCGGCTGCAAGATATCATAGAGGAGGGGGTTGAAGAGAAAATAATACTGGACTCATTTAAGCTTTACGCCCATAAATACGCTTTAAATAAAATCAACAGAAAGTTAAAGGGTTTCACACATTTATAGTTCAACGATAGTGATTCGGTTTCAACTGGCAAATTGGTTGTTAGTAAAACAAGTAAGTGTGTATTTCACTCTGTCCGTTTTGTAGTTCATTTGAAAACAATGGCATAATTCCGAAAAAAATAAAATTCCTTACCTTCCATTGGTGAATCGTCTCAAACTGTAAGCAAAATATTCATTGCTGCATACATGAAAATCACGAGCACATTTGCATTTCGGAATCCAGCTTCTGTTAGAACGAGGAATATTACGGTTCCATATTAAAAGGTTTGTGTGTACACATTACCTGACTTGATAATCATACTCAAATAAGGTTGAATCTTATAGTTCTTCACTTTGACTTTCCAGTACAATTCCGATCCGGTAGTGTTGAAATCGTCACTGGGTACAGCTGATCCGCATTGAACGTATTCACTTGCCGAGCTCGGATTTGCATTACTACTCAAAGCCACATAATCGTCTGAACACGGCTTTGCTCCGTCAAGCTGAATTCCAAAGCGATTAGGAATGCATGTTAACAAGGTATTATTAATTGAAATGTGATATGAAACAGGTTTGTATGAAATGCATTTATACACATTACCTTCATGTGCATAATCTTCACGTTGATTTTTGATCCTTTGGTGTTCACAATTTTATAGTTGCACTCGACGTCAAGTTCCATTGGTTTTCCGTCCACCGGGAATTGAAATATTTGCTCGGTACCGTCGAATGACTCAGGGTACGTGCCGCATGATGCTTGTGCAAAGACTAAGATCGATAAATGGACAGTGAATTAAAGGATAATCGGTTATCCAATCGTCTCAACATTAGAAAAACGAAAACGGTGACATTTATTCAGGAATGGGATTTGAAGCTCATACTCGCTGCGCCGTGGTTGCGCTCACCTCGTTTTACACTTGCTTTGTAACCGGCAGGTGCATCAATCTTTGACACATAATATTGTAGTGCCATATTATTTCCTGTAGAATCAAATTCGGTCTTGCCTGTTTTATCACAGTACGGTGTTGCTGTAGCAAGGCCGGTTTTATCATCCGCAAACTTGAGGTTATTATCGGTGCACTTCGTATCAGTTGAAGTTAGTCCCTGAAATGATCAAACCAGATGAAGAGTATACTTATAAAAGAGCTACATTTTGTGAAATTGGTTATATACTACTTATTGCATACAGGATACATTTATCTAGACAAAATACAATATTTCAGGTTTGTTTAGCGCAGTCAGTGGCTGATGAAAATGAGTGGAATTATCCAGTATAATAATAAAGTGAAAATTTTGTGAGTCTCGGTTTCGCTTACCGTAACATCAGTAACATTGAGTTTCAACCGATATCCTTCGTCCGTGGTAAACTGAAGATTGCATGTTTTAGGTTTAGCTGCTTCCGCTTTAATTGAACGCGAAGCATCCACGGGATCATCAGGCACTGTGATGCTCTCATCGCAATCCTGAGATTGAACTGGTAGAATAGTTGAAAAACACAATAAAATGTACAGCTGGAAAACTCGCATTCTGGTGAAAATCAATCTGATGCTAAGTATACAGATTCCCTAGTTAAATAGTGAATTCAGTGTGTGGTATTCAATGATTATTGGATCAATCCCGGTAGTAATTTCCAAACTAATATTAGTATGTCATTTTGTTCAGAGTGTGGGGGCGTAGGTGCTTTTACAATTGTTGTATGTAAGTATTTCCGATTACACAACTGCACGGGCACTGATTCAATCAGTTGAAAAAGCATGTGACTGGAGGAGTAGACCGTGCCAAATTATGAACAAATTCGCTCAGGCACAAATAGTTGCACTAACTCAGGATTCCATATTTTAAAGGCTCATTGGATGATTTCGATCGTTGAATTGGGTAGTAATACATAATCGATTACCGGGTATCGAATCATGAAATCACAGAACCCAATTATTCTCTTCGGTTTATGGTAACAGTGGATATTAAGTTCATTCACAGCTCGCCATAATCAATCTCATTGAAGGTTGTGACGTCAGAGGATCTAAACCTGGTTGCAATACAATAAAAATTTTACAAGGCCGATATTTTGACCCACAACCAAAACGTCCGCTATTAAACTTCCTAATGGATGAAAAAGTTACGCAATATTAATGAATACTGTTAGGTCCAAACCAGCTGTGGATCAACGAATCATAGTTACATTCTATGTGTTAATGCCAAAACGACTCGTTCTGGCTCGGTCATAGGCCAAGTGTAATTGACTATCCTACGATAGCGTCAATGAGACCGTTGGGCAACTCGTAGAGAAATGCGAACCCCGAAGTCAAAACGATATTAATCCGCAATGCGTACAGTACTGTTTATCTCATTAGGCGAGTCAAAGAACAATGTACGTCAACAGTGCGACTCAGTCGCTATACAGCCAAAAAGGTGAGTTCAAACAAATGGGTAGCGACTCGATATAACGACATGCAAATAAATATACATAAATACCTGTTAGGTCAAGCAAGGGATTCTGTTAACCAAACGTGAACAGTCAGTGATCGAAATCAGGTATGCACTCGCAAAGAGCAAGACAACTAATCAGGCCATAGGGCCAGTGACGGGGCACATGGGGATTGGGGTAATGACACACCAAAGCCACGTTAGTGCAGAGGACAATGACACGGGTGGGCTCGATGGGTAGACACACAAGGTCATTAGACACGAGAATGCGTCATCAAACAACCATAAACCATGACTAACAGGAGGGATCACGCGGTGATCAAGGTCAAATCAAGAGTGACAGAAGAGAATGTGTTCACACAGGTAAAGGGGTAATTGGGAGGGGGAACAACAGCGGCCTTGGACTGAGAAGAGGGATTTTCTTCACTCTGTGGTTTCTACAACATGATTAGTATTACCGTGTTTTCGTGAACACAAAATATGCTTATACGGTTTCAAATGCTTGAAGCCCTGAGGTGATTGGATTTAAAACCAATAAACTTGTCTGCTGTTAATTGATGCACAATGTAAGAAGGTTTGGTTGTTATCCCGAATCACCCAAGGTTTCGTTAAGTACCTCTACTGTCGGGTGGGTTAATTGGGCAATCAAGCAATCTAGAAATTGTTTTCGTTCCAATAGCGTCCTACGGGACATATACATTAAAGTCGAAAATCCCACCACCGCTTATGACTCGTCAGTGCTAGCGTCAAAAACGATTCAACGGCCGGTACGCAAATTGGCATCCGTCCTCTTTAAGTCAGCGACAGACACAGATCGATCACATTTACATAAGCCGTACTCAGCGAGGTTGTATAAAATTCTGGCTTTAGAAATGGAGCACCACCCTTGAATTCAACCACGTTTAGCTGAGCTAAACTCAGGCCAACGCAAGGCCTGTAAAACCCTTGAAGACTTAACGTGTTACAAATGTGGACAATACTGCAGCTATAGGAAATCATTACAATCTGCGATCATCCCAAACTAGCTATTGCGGCGCGATCGCTAAACAAACATCTGCAGAAAACTGAAAAACCCCGAATCCCGTATTTCAATAAAATGAACTGTTATTACTTGTTGTTTAATGCCGCTCACGTGGCAGTATTGAGAAGCAGTTACATTATCCTGATCTAACATCCAAAGTTACGATTGCCAATTACCCTCTATTTAATTTCAAGCAGTATCTCAGGCATTTTGAGCACAACCCTGTGTTTATATTTGACATGACATTCTTTAACTTCTTTGATTATTGCCCTAACAATTTTTACTAAATCTATAGGCAAAAGCCTCGAGTGAATTTGTTGATTACGTAAAATTCGACCACATTTCTCTTGATACATAGGCATTATATAACTATTCGTATGGACCATACGGTATAATGCATCTTGTAATATTCCAATGTACTTATTGTGTGCATAAAACAGTCTGGAGGGGGAGGGGGACGCAAATTTGATGAGAAACATTATTCTACCCATATTATGGTACTCCTTTAAGTTCCAAATATGTTTCGGAGGAAAGATGCTTTGGTAAGTTATCAATGTGCACTAATTAACGGGGTCTGGGATTGTTCAAAATGGTGTTGCGTTCTACTGCTGAAAGTTTGATACAACTCCCACAATCGATCAGTCACTTTACCCTTTTGTGTATGGGGTACCCGGTAGGAGTAGCACCTCTGACTCCTAGGGCTCTCGGTCTCTTTGGAGTATCCTCCGTTCTTTGGTCTCCACCAGGGGCTCAGCTCTCACCTGTGGCTTCAAGAAGCTGTTTGGATACAACAACCGCCACACCCCGGTAAACCGCTCGACAAGTGGGTCAAACCGGGAATTCAGCTCACGGCGAGTCAGTATCCAACTTACTTGTTGGGCGGACGAAGTTGCATTCACGATTCCACGGTCAAGGCAACGGCTACATACTCATCAGGGATACATGGACCCCTGTTTATCTATAAACTGCCAACAACCCTCCCTCACTCCGAGGGTACTCGGCAACAATTCACTACATACCTGCTGCTCTCCGGACATCACTTGAATGTCTAATGTCTAGATGTCCCCTCGACCCAAAGTCACGTGACACTGGGGATGTTTCCTGTGCCTAACTCCCAAAAAACTTCATGAGTATTCATTGAAACTATGTCACTAATCATGCTACGGCGTGCCCTGAAAGTGATGCGTCATATCTTCAAGTGAATCCAACCAACCGATTTCCTTTGGGAACCCCGCAAGATTGGTGTTTCGGCCGTCAAACGTCACCGGCTGGACCGGGTCTGTCTAAACCCGTCCACCCTGAATGAACTAACTTTTCCGAAAAAAAATAAAAGTTCTGTTTAAGAGAGTTATCGAGCGAGGACGAAAGTTTCCCTCTAGTGGGGTGGGGTGGCTTGTTCGAACTCCCCCCCCCCTCCGAACCAATCTGAAACATTATGTCCGTGGTCTTTGAACGGGTGTGCGTCTTAAACGCGAATGAACGAACCCGGCAGTAATTGACCTCTGTCGGTCGGGTAAGGAAGACGTGAGTATTGAGATGCTTAATTGCATGAGTGAATTCAGATTGCTTGAGATAGTTGATGATGTTTGAAACTCCTGCTGATGGCGGAGCGCAGTTAGCCTTGTATGGCGAATATGACAAGTAGGAAGCATACAAAAGTTGGATTTGAGGGCGATTGAGAAGACTGAGGTGTTCCTCCCACCGAAATATTTTTCCTTTCGCATTAGAAATGCGCTCACCGCGGCACTGCGCAACACAAATTGGGTGACCTGTTTCTTGCCCGATGCTGATAGAATAAGTCGGGAGAGGGTAGCCATGTTGCCCAGGTTGGTTGCTGTCTCTATTTTTGTAACCATTTTATTCCAGTAGTTGCTTCTATCATTTCTGGCTGATCGTATTGCTTTCCGTCTGAAATCACGATGAGCAAAGAATTGAGCTAGATGTGTCTCTCTGGTCGCACTAGCTAACTGGACGGTGTGGTCGAATATCGAGTCCTTCAGAGGACGTTACTCAGTGCCAAGTTCGTGTAGAGCAGCTTCACATATCCACGACTTCATCATGGTCTAATGAGTTCCGACCGAGCTATCTGTGCTTCCTTGCATTACAAGGAGAAAGTTCAACATCTGTGTAGTTATTGTACCCATCAGTGCCTCGCAGTTCTCGCTGTTCTCCAGTGGAAGCACATATAAGCGTTTTGAGGGGACGGTCCTCTACTAGTGGCTGGATGTAGTCTAACGTTTGGGCAAACTGCGTTTGTTTACGCATGCAGACCCGCGATAGGATTGACAGTTTTCAACCGAAGAAAACCGCCATGAATAGATGAGAAAGAAATTTATACTTTTTCAACTTCAAGTCAATCCGTCTACATTAGTCGACTGGCCTCCGAGATAGGCCGAGAAATAAACACATAAAAAACAAAACTTTTGCGACAGTCCCGATTCATCCCGAAGATGCTTTACTACTAAACAGTGAGCCGGTATAATCCGTCGAAAGTTTTCAATTCTCGGACCTAATTAGACTCCTCAACGGCCAAGCTAAAGATGAGGCATTTTTAAAGCTGACCAATTCCATTTGGCGTAGAAGGGAAATCAGCTTAAAGAAAAAATCCGCAGCTGTCCATCCTGTGTTGTTATAGGCTGGGTAAACTTACAATGGAAGACTGTCGACGATTAGAAATCATTGACAACTGGTGCTTAAGAATCATTCTGGAAGTACGATGTAGGGATCAGCTCTCAATAAATGAGTCAGAAATCGATGTTTTAATCTTACATGGCTGCCGACGCTAATACAACATTGGAGAATACAATGATTTGGTAGCACATTTGGTAAGTCTGATAACGACCTAACCAAAACTGCCTTGGCACCAATTCCTTGCTCTAACTAGCGCTATCGACACGGTGGGTATTTAGAAACCTGGTTATACACGTACGCTTCGTCTATATTATTCACCAATTGAAATCAAGCTGAATCAAAATCTGCGCTGATCTTGCCGCAGAACGCCGCGCGTGGGCAGCGGTAATTCAGGGTATCCATGAAGCGAGAATATGCTGTCCCAGGAGCCAAACGCCGTAAAGTGGGTAATTTGTTTGACAAGTTCCGCAGCAGCCGTCAAAAGTTTCCTGAGCACAACAGGGTCTCTAATAGACTGTCAGCTGAGAACCGATATGAATATCACAAGCCCACGCGTTCCGTTGTCAAAGTAAAAATATGCTACCAGTGAATGTAGTTCTGATCTGATACTTTTGCACATTTTACGCACGCACCTGGTCGAATCGTATTTAAACTTGATTGAACCACTTTTTAATCAGCCCAAAGCTTTGACTGTCAAGTTAGGAAACTTTCGTATATCCTCTACGGTTTTAAACATGTAGACGTGAGCTCAGGGGTTTAAGAATTTACGTTTATCTACAGTTCGGTTACTGGGTATTATATGAGCAGTCCTCAAGGTTTATTGGCATCTATGGTCTTCATGATGACTACTGAGAACCGATGGTATTCTCGTAGAACTCATGTATCCGACGCAATTTGTGACTTTTAACGCCTCCAATCTTCATGTGTTGTTCACGTCTAGGCCAATTGTGTTTGCGACTGACACACAACGTTTCAGACTCCGCGGTCTCATTCCGTGTATTCTCATTTACTTGTTCCTGTGGGAAGACAATTTACAGGCTACACCGTCACGCGATTGTCGGAACAGATTCGTGAGCACCAACCTGCGTGACTGAACACCGGAACTCACCAATGTAGCAGTTTCACATCTAGCTGAAATAAATCACACTGTGGACGTGTCGAAAGCTTTCCGACCCCCGTATAAAGTTAATGGGCGATTATCGAGGCAGGTTAGGTGTCGGATACTGGCTAAAGCAGAAGAGATGGGCATTCGTCTGCAATTTGTGTAAGCGCTAAAGCTTCTCCTGTCCCATCCACCACTCTCCACCCATCATATAACGAGTAATCTCAATGATCGGACGAGTGGACACACAAATATGTGAGTATTGGAGGATTTGGTTAAATTTCAAATGGGAATTCGTCGTGTATATAGCAAATGAAGCGAACTGAAAAGCTCGGAAGCACTGAACAGCTGTTTCGACTTGGTTGGTTCTCATCAGCAAGGCGAATCAATCGACCCAACTGGGGATCGAACCCGGGACTTCATGGGCAGAACGCAAGTGTGCTACCCACTACGCCACCGAACGGCTGATCAGACCGTTTTTTTATTTTCCATTTACACGATATAGCACGCTTGTGTTCTGCCCATGAAGTCCCGGGTTCGATCCCCAGTCGGGTTGATGGATTCGCACAGCTGATGAGACCCAACCAGGTCGAAACATCTGTCCAGTGCTTCCGAGCTTTTCAGTTCACGCTTCATTTGCTATATACACGACGAATTACCATTTGAAACATAAATAAGTGATCTTGGTGAACCCGATTTCCGGTCTCATGATGAAATCGTTTCGAGTAATCTGTGATTTTTTCTTTTCTATTCCTAAGTATATATATATATATACATATGCATTGGCATGAATACGAATATCTGAAAACGAGCTTGTTCGGGACTCTGTTATATATTTTTCGAAATGTGCTCTGTGGGGCACTATTTAGATAATATATGAGAAACTGAAAACACTGTTTTCCCGTCACAAATTTGAACAGAGAAGTCAGAAACATGGGTTTGCACAATGTATCCATGGTCACTTCGCTGCATCTGTACACATGCATACTGCGGTCCAAGTGATTGTTTTCATAGTCAGTGAGATAACAGATTTGAGAGAAAAAACACAAGATCGCTAATCACGACGGACAACGCAACGCAAAAACACAAAAGGGGGAACGAGATAGGGCAGGGGGTCAATCACCAAGGCAAAGCTAATGTGACTAACCATTCGCGTTGTTTGCATAGATCAGGTTTGAGAGTGTGAATGGCTACTTCTCTGACTTCTCTGTTGGAATTTGTGACGGGAAAACAGTGTTTTCAGTTTCTCAAACGTCGCCTCCCACCATCAATGATTCGTCAGTTGAGCGGACTTGTGAGATTGAGGTGCAAGATTGCTGTGCAACGAGTATGGATGGATTTTCTATCTGGATGTATTGAACGTAGCCAATACCCAATCACTTATTGCAAACGTCTACGGCGTGAAAATCTTCGGCCAACACCGAATAACCTGAAGCGGTTAACCAAGTGTCACATCGAGGAATGTAGAGTCGAACTTTAACAACATCTATCTTTGTTACATAATGCTTCTCGAGATATGGACCATCTAACCGTGATACCACTGATCAAATTTTCCAGTTTTTGCTGTGAAAAGGTTCGTCAAATGCGCATGTATGAAATGAACAGATTGAGTAAGTCACTGAATCATAAACTGATGAACTCGTCCTCTCCTGAACACCCTAAAAAATACGTGTACAATGTATCGTCATATCGATTGAATCGACTGCAACTTGAAGCTTTATCATGTGGTCTAAATTATGGTATTCCACCAAGGAGGAGCAATCATATTGAATCTAAAGCGGCGTTTGAGTCCCTTTTTGATCAGT